TTCAACTTGTTGAAACAATGTAACAAATTCACATGGTTCTAAATTGTTCAATTATTCTCTGCTGTCAATCCAAGTAATTTATTCCCTAACAACATTACTTAAAATCAAAATTTCAGTATTCCACAGTTAGTTCATTGAGCGAAGCTCTTATACGTCGACTCTTATGCATTTCGTAATACGCAAACTCCTCCTAGACGGCTGGATCAATCGTTTTCAAATTTTGTTGAGCGAAGCTCTTATACGTCGACTCTTATGCATTTCGTAATGCGCAAACTCCTCCTAGACGGCTGGATTAATCGTTTTCAAATTTTGCATGGTGATAAAGACCATATCGGTGAGTGCCAACATCTATATGGCGTTAACAAAGTATCTCAGGAATCCGCCCCACTGGGTCTCAAAGTTTCAATGTTATCCTTATGGAAGCTGTATTTGACACATTATGATCAGCTGTTGACTTTTGAATGCAGTAGATAAAGAAATAGCTGATAGCATTATTCCACAGATATTAGAACAGAAACGGTATGGATCATAAATATAATAAAATGACGACACTAGCTTGAGGTCCGTGACATAGGAAGTAGTGAAGGAAGTAGTAAAGGTGAGCAGTCTGGAGTATAAAAATTGTTTACGACGATTAGATTAAGGTATTTGCAGTCCAATAATGCTATGGGAAGGGAGGGAAACAGGTCCGCGACGTAGGAAGAGTGGTGAAGGAAGTAGTAAAGACGAGCTGTCCGAAGTGTGGGAACTGTTTATGACGATTAGATCAAGATATCTGCAATCCTAAAATGCTATGGGAAGGGAGGAAAACAGGTCCACGACGTAGGAAGTGGTGAAGGAAGTAGTCAAGGCGAGCTGTCCGGAGTGTGGGAACTGTTTAAGGCGATTAGATTAAGATATCTGCAATCCTAAAATGCTATGGGAAGGGAGGAAAACAGGTCAGCGACGTAGGAAATGGTGAAGGAAGTAGTCAAGGCGAGCAGTCCGAACTGTTGACCGAAGCTGTCCGGAGTGTGGGAACTGTTTATGACGATTAGATTAAGGTATCTGCAATCCTAAAATGCTATGTGAAAGGAGGAAAATAGGTCCGCGACGTAGGAAGTGGTGAAGGAAGTAGTCAAGGCGAGCTGTCCAGAGTGTGGGAACTGTTAAAGACGATTAGATTAAGATATCTGCAATCCTAAAATGCTATGGGAAGGGAGGGAAACAGGTCCGCGACATAGGAAGTGGTGGAGGAAGTAGTCAAGGCGAGCTGTCCGGACTGTGGGAACCGTTTGTGAAGATTAGATTAAGTTATCTGCAATCCTAAAATGCTATGGGATGGGAGGAAAACAGATCCGTGACGTTGGAAGTTGTAAAGGAAGTAGTCAAGGTGAGCTGTCCGGAGTGTGGGAACTGTTTATGACGATTAGATTAAGGTAACTGCAATCCTAAAATGCTAAGTGAAGGGAGGGAAACAGATCCGTGACGTAGGAAGTGGTGAAGGAAGTAGTCAATGCGAGCAGTCTGGAGTGTGGAAACTGTTTAAGACAATTAGATTAAGGTATCTGCAATCCTAAAATGCTATTGAAAGAGAGGGAAACAGGTCCGTGACGTAGGAAGTGGTGGAGGAAGTAGTCAAGGCGAGCTGTCCGGACTGTGGGAACCGTTAGTAAAGATTAGATTAAGTTATCTACAATCCTAAAATGCTATGGGAAGGGAGGAAAACAGGTCAGCGACGTAGGAAGTGGTGAAGGAAGTAGTAAAGGCGAGCTGTCCGGAGTGTGGGAACTGTTTAAGGCGATTAGATTAAGATATCTGCAATCCTAAAAAGCTATGGGAAGGGAAGGAAACAGGTCCGCGACGTAGGAACTGGTGGAGGAAGTAGTCAAGGCGAGCTGTCCGGACTGTGGGAACCGTTTGTGAAGATTAGATAAAGTTATCTGCAATCCTAAAATGCTATGGGAAGGGAGGAAAACAGATCCGTGACGTAGGAAGTGGTGAAGGAAGTAGTCAAGGCGAGCTGTCCAGAGTGTGGGAACTGTTAAAGACGATTAGATTAAGATATCTGCAATCCTAAAATGCTATGGGAAGGGAGGGAAACAGGTCCGCGACATAGGAAGTGGTGGAGGAAGTAGTCAAGGCGAGCAGTCTGGAGTGTGGAAACCGTTTGTGAAGATTAGATTAAGTTATCTGCAATCCTAAAATGCTATGGGATGGGAGGAAAACAGATCCGTGACGTTGGAAGTTGTAAAGGAAGTAGTCAAGGTGAGCTGTCCGGAGTGTGGGAACTGTTTATGACGATTAGATTAAGGTAACTGCAATCCTAAAATGCTAAGTGAAGGGAGGGAAACAGATCCGTGACGTAGGAAGTGGTGAAGGAAGTAGTCAATGCGAGCAGTCTGGAGTGTGGAAACTGTTTAAGACGATTAGATTAAGGTATCTGCAATCCTAAAATGCTATTGAAAGAGAGGGAAACAGGTCCGTGACGTAGGAAGTGGTGGAGGAAGTAGTCAAGGCGAGCTGTCCGGACTGTGGGAACCGTTAGTAAAGATTAGATTAAGTTATCTACAATCCTAAAATGCTATGGGAAGGGAGGAAAACAGGTCAGCGACGTAGGAAGTGGTGAAGGAAGTAGTAAAGGCGAGCTGTCCGGAGTGTGGGAACTGTTTAAGGCGATTAGATTAAGATATCTGCAATCCTAAAAAGCTATGGGAAGGGAAGGAAACAGGTCCGCGACGTAGGAACTGGTGGAGGAAGTAGTCAAGGCGAGCTGTCCGGACTGTGGGAACCGTTTGTGAAGATTAGATAAAGTTATCTGCAATCCTAAAATGCTATGGGAAGGGAGGAAAACAGATCCGTGACGTAGGAAGTGGTGAAGGAAGTAGTCAAGGTGAGCTGTTCGGAGTGTGGGAACTGTTTATGACGATTAGATTAAGGTATCTGCAATCCTAAAATGCTAAGTGAAGGGAGGGAAACAGGTCCGTGACGTAGAAAGTGGTGAAGGAAGTAGTCAAGGCGAGCAGTCTGGAGTGTGGAAACTGTTTAAGACGATTAGATTAAGGTATCTGCAATCCTAAAATGCTATTGAAAGGGAGGGAAACAGGTCCGTGACGTAGGAAGTGGTGAAGGAAGTAGTAAAGGTGAGCAGTCCGGAGTGTGGGAACTTTTTATAACGATTAGATTAAGGTATCTGTAATCCTAAAATGCTATGGGAAGGGAGGGAAACAGGTCCGTGACGTAGGAAGTGTTGGAGGAAGTCGTGAAGGTGAGCAGTCCGGAGTACTCACTGGATTGCTTTAGTGATTGCTAAAATCAAGTCAATCTATATATTTAATATTGTAAAAATCACAATTTTTACCGAGTATATTAAGATAATTGGCTGGTTAGTTATGTTTTAGTAGTCATGAAGGTCGCAGATTTGAGAGAATGCCATAGGCTATATTTTGTGTTTTTGCTTATATAATCACCATCACATGAAGTTCTCTAATGCATTTACTGAATCAGCCAAAATGGTTGAATCCGAAACTGTAAGGGTTGATTTCTAGATTATCACTAGCTGGAACTGTAACGCCCTATTTGAGAAAAAGCTAATGACCATCCCAGAGGTTTTAAACTTGAAATGTAAATGCAGGCTTCCGAAAAGACCTAAAATTACATCTTTGTGTTTTTACTCCCCTTAACTACCAAACCATGTGTAGCCAAACTAATTATCCTATTATTTATATCCTCACAAATGTTGTCTTCTCTTAAAACTATAGGTAAAAATTATTATGAAGCACGAATCGATACATATTTTCGATACATGCAATTGTTTACTATCGAAATTTACAACTGAGTTGACAATAGCTGATATTTACTCCATAGAGGCTAAAAAACGATTTTTACTCCCTAAAGAGTAAAATTGCTACTTTAGACCCGCAACGCATGCATTAAAAACGACTGTTTTTACTGCAGTATGACAAAAACAATATAATATGAACTCTTGATGACTCCGCTCAATTTTGTGGATGCCTCTGCAAACGCTACCTAGTTATTGGTTATTCATATCAACACAACTCTTACATATTCAGGTGGTGGTTTAGTTGTAAGGTTTTCATGTTATGAATTAGTAAATCACAGCTCATCAAAAGCTGGCTTAGGGTGTTTACGGCAATGGGCACAATCAGCCTCGTAGTAAAACCTTTCCCTTTAAAATAAACAGTTACAGCCCTTCCTAGATTAATTATAAATTAATTTATTGTATATTTCCTTGTCTCAGCCTTCATCTATCCACACAACTCTTCCATTATTCCACAGACACATCCCACCAGTCACAATTGGTAGCAATTGCTACACTACATAAAGAAAATGTACCACAAAGCTAACCAATATATCCTGGCCACATGTCATCTGTAGGACTAGTTATGAGATATGCTACTATTTAGTATCTTTCATTAAACAATTAACATTTTTTTTTAGATTTTGAATTTCTGACTAAGTTACTTTGTTACTGGCCCAGCCATGATCCAATTTGATTATACTACCTATGCCACTAATTAGTATAAGGCTTTTCGGTTAAAACTATAGAACCTTTATTATTTCTTGGGTTATAGTAGTACATTTTTTTTAAATGGAAGTACTAAACAGTCTAAAATAGGTAGGGTAGTACTGTTGGGACCATTAGTCTGCGTGTGCGGCTGGCTATGGCATGGGAGGAGAGGGGGGGGGTGGATATTACTGGTTATATCCAGTAGGTGGGGGGTCTGAGCCGCGCACACTGATTAATGGTCCCAACAGTAAAAGGTAGCATAGTCCGTTTGATGGAATTAAATCATGGCCGGGCCAGTGACATGCTAGGTTTTTGATGAGTTTAGACATAGCTATTGATTAATATCAATAATAATGTTTTTATTATTTTAGTCAAGTTACATAACTGTCAAACCTAGTAATGTAGATGAAACAAATAAATAAACTATTAAATTGCATTACAAATTACTAACTTATTTAGTACTATAATACATTGTTTTATATTGTTTCAGAACAAGTTGTTTCTTTACTAATGGCTAGTAAAGAAGACAATCCAGTTGGATTCTTGCAAGAATTATGTCAAAAGCATGGTTATGCTTTCCCTCAATTTGAAGAGGTAGACGATTCAGGCCCAGACCACGAAAAAATGTTTACTGTTAAATGTAAATTTCAAAATGTTGAGGCATTGGGTAAAGCCCGAACTAAGAAAGCAGCTAAGTCTGAAGCAGCGAAAAACATGATTTTAGTTTCTTTGGATAAATGTTCAGTTGAGACTAGAAAGGAAGACAGTAATGCAGATTCATCAGAAAAAACATCACCCGTGGGAAATAAAAACCCTGTTTCAATGCTCAATGAGTTCAGTCAAAAAAAAGGTCTGCGGCCACCTAAATTTGAAGTAGTGTCGAGTGTGTCTGGCTTTGTTTCCACTTGTAGTTTGGAAGGAAACACAACATATGGCCATGGTGATAACAAAAAGACTGCAAAAACTGAATCTGCAAATAAAATGTGCATACTCTTAAAGTTAAGACATGAAAAAGACACTTTATCAATAGATAAGGATGATGCAAATTTAGTCGTAGAAGTAGAAAACCAATTAAACTTGGCTGAATATGAAGAACCCCACAGGTATTTGGTTAAAAATTCCTTACTAAGCTTATATTCTCAACTAGTGTCCAAAACCGGTGGAAGAATGATCACGAAGAAGGCAAAATCGTCACGTGACAGAGAGAAAATTTTGAAACGTACGTTTTTATGTCCCTGGCCTTTTACTTCCTAGATACTGTATATGTAGTTTATCATTGTGTGTTTTAATATTTTTTGGGATGGGGGCAGCATGTTACACACAATTATTTGGCTTTAAATAGGTTCTAGGTATTTTTTTTGTATTTCTAAAGTCTAGAAACTCACGACCGTCACGTGTCCCTAGGGTACATTTTGCAACTTTCATGCTGTTTTTAGAATAATTATTCATGCCGAAATATATGATGTCATATTTTTATTACATCAATAGTTATTAATCTTACGAAAAAGGAGCATATGATAATTTTGTTTTCATTGTAAACTGATTACCATGACTAAATAGGTCTGTCCCTCGATTTGACGTCACGACCATTAGGGAAAAATTTGCAACTTTGGAGCACGACAGTGGCAAGCCTGGCGTCGATGGAGTCAGTTTGTTTTAGAGACTAGTTCGGGGTGTACGTCAGGATTGTAGTGCCGGTCGTTTCGAGTTGAAAGGAGGAATTACAAGATCAATAAAGGCAAGTTTGTGTTTTTTGTAATTTTGGTGTGTCTATGACCGTACGCAGTCATTCGATGAAGTAGACACGGTGTTAATCTTTGTTTATAAGATATTTCAATTCCTAGATTAACCTGGAAGTCCACTTTGTATCCTCAAACATGAGGTGTAGGGCTACCGCCAGAACAGAGCCAAATAACACGTAATGTCACGACCAATGTTTCACGACCATTGCAGGTTTTTTCACGACCAATCCAGCCTTATGGATTATATTGTGTTTGGTCGTGGTATCATTGTAAATTGAACAGTTTAGTTCAATTGAAACACATATTTTTATTATAACTAACAGTATAATTGAAGGATTGTTTAGAAAGATTTAGATTATTCCAGACAATTCACGACCCTGACCCTGACCCCCCCCCCCCCAACCCTGGCTCCCCCACCCACCAGGTTGTGACCCTGGGCTTGTCCCTGACCCTCTTTATGAATTCTATCATACAATTTTAAATATCATCATATTTAAATGTTTTATACACAAAAGAAGCACACCTCTATAAAAACATAACAATTTTTGGGTCTCAGGTAAGTTTTTTCGGAGTTATACAAACTTAAAAGATTTTACTGGCTTTTTTCATTTTTTTAATTTTTTATTTTTTTCTAGAAAGACCAAATATACCAGAAGCTTAGTGAGCTGTTTATTGTATAGTGGCCATAAAAGTAAATTAATTTATAGCAAAAAAAAGTTATAAAAATAATATTAACTATTTTTAATATTCAGTTTTATTTCCTTGATGGTCGTGACAACATTTTGTGTTTTTCCATCAAAGATGCTCTATTAATAAAAAATCACCAAAGATATTGCGTTACCATGGACATTTTATGAAACTTCAAATGTAAATGAAACAAAAAAAAATTCAAAAAACGGAACAATAAATTTTAAAAGTGCTTTTCTTGAAAACGTACGTTTTTAAATTTTCACTCGACACCCGGATCTTTCCTCTGGTTGGCTGTCTTACCACTACCCTAGTCAAAGTTGACTACTTGAGTCAAACAACTCATTGTCCGTATTGTGCGGCTACCTAGCTTGAACTCATGAACGAACTATGCTCTCCATCATAGCCAGAGTACATTGTACTCATTTACGACTTTGACCCCTTTCAGGGTATTTATTTATAATTTTAAAATATCTACCAAAATAAAACTGGTTTCTTGCTTCTGATTGTGTCTCGGGATTTTGACTTTGGCCTTCTTTGATCTCTTCCAAAGCCTCCACTACACCATCAAAATGTTTAATAATTGCATGGACAGCTTCTGATTTAGCGGGCCACTGTGTCTGGCTTGTCCATTTTAAGTTGGTCTTACAACGAGATTTCATTATTTCCCATCTTTGGGGGGGAGAGAACTATTATGTACAGTCTTTGAACTACTTCTAAAGACTTTAGATGTTTGGAAAGAAACTGACGAGGCATTAAGCCCAATTAAATTTAATGAATGGGTGAATGGACAATGCAGTGGGACAAACACTGCGTTTGGATTCACTTCCTTAAACCTTGCTTGGACTCCCTTAAACACACCAGCCATGTTCGACCCGTTATCATATGACTGGCCACAGCAGTTAGTGATTTCCAAACTATCATTTGTAAGTTTATTGATTATTTATCTCAGCCAAATATTCTCCTGTTTTCCCATGAACCTTTACAAAATCAATGAAGCTCTCTTTAACTACATATGTGCCTCCTTGTGTCGTCACATAACGAATTACTTGTCTCATCTGTTAATTATGAGCTACATCTGGAGTACAATCAAACATGACACTGTAATACTTAGCTTTGACAATCTTGTCAATTATTTTTTTCCTCACGCACCCACCCATCATGTTGATGACTTCGTTTTGAATCGTTTTAGAAAGATAAGAAACTTGACCTTTTTTGCGTCCTTCCAATGTTGTCTTCAAGCATATAAATAAGGTTCAAAAGGTTTCCTTGCTCTTTACTGGTGAAAGCCATTTGTCGTATTTATATTGCTCTGATAGTTCCCCTAAAGGAAAGACAATTACATGCTAAGTATAGTATCACATCAATAATTATTCGCAAGATCTCCCTCCATTTATTTTTACGTTCTCCCCCTATACATAGTATATGGAGAAAGTAGGCTATTGTTTTTAATCAAAATTTTCGAGTTTGAGTTTTGAGTGGATATATCCATTTTGGGTCCCCCTGAACCCAAAAAAGTGGTTTTTAAAGTGAAGTCTATGTATATGTCCGTGTGCAAGTCTGTATGTGTGGATGTGTACAGAGCTACAGACTACACCTGTGGTCCGATTTAGATAACATTTTGTATGCAGGTACTAATCCATGGTATCTCTAGGCTTTTTTATTTTTTTCAAAATTTTGAGTTTTAATGGTGATTTTCCTTAAAAACCCATAAAATAACAGAATACCTCCACTGCAGCAAAAGCGAACTTCCATTTGTCTGAATTGATGTTCTATAAAATGTATCTAAATAACATTAGGTTTAACGAGTACCTAGGTTTGATGTTACAAGGAAACTAATAAACGGCGTTTTCTAGTAAAATATGAATAGCTTAGTATAAAATAAATAAAATTGCCAAGTTCGATAAAAATATATCCATTTACAAGCAAACTACAACATTTTACAATACTAGTAGCTTGTAGGGACATAAGTCCCTGAAAAGCTTGAATGTAAAACAACTTATTGCAACTCCGGTATTCAAACAAACTCAGAATAACATTATCTATGTGTCAGGATAGGTATCCCTATGTACACCATGTCTTTTGTGTAAAAAACAGTTTGTTGCCCGTCTTTTTTTGATTTATTTGTTGAGGTTATTTTCAATAAATAATTTGAATCACTCCAGAGGTTTAACATGAAAAGGCAGCAAACATATCATTGTGTGTGAATAAATGCTGGTTTACTAAATGTAGCTTTGGTCTTGTGGTTAATGAGGATAAATAAAAGCTTCCCTGATTGGAATTTTAGAAATTGTCTTCGTCAAATAAATATGAAAAGGCAAATGTAGGTGGTTGGAGATAAGCTTATTTCTTGGTAAAAACCGCTAAATTATCCCGGTTGTTATTTCTAAGTTTATACTTATGCTCCTTTTACTAAGGTTTAACAAAATTCTTGTAAAGTAAAGGCATCCCATTGACCAAACTTAACCCTAGATTTGTTCTTGATTGACATAAAAAAAAAACTACTGTAAGTTTGCGTGGTGGTGGTATTCCTCCTAAAGGTGCGATACGCTATCAAAATAGGCCTAATCATCGGCTGATTCCTACTTATTTTGGGACTGGCTAGGGTTCCATTACCCAGTTAATGAAATCAACGAAATTTCTTTACATCGGCATCTCCGACATCCATATTTTTGGTTAGTTTTAAGAAAAGGAAACTACCTCTAGGTTTTACTATTATTAATGGATGCTCCCTTTACCACCGTGCATGCTAGGCTTTATTGTTTGAATCTTTTTTGCTTGGGGCAACAGGCAGTACCTGGTTAAAATATCCTCCAAACATTATTGTTTTTCCTCCCATTGGAACTTGTCATAGTACTTACTTTATGAACAAATATATTGCCTGTACGAACCTATTTAATCTTCATTCCCAGCACAGATCATCTCACACTATCCAACACTCATCCTTCACTCATATATTGGGTTCAAATACGCACCTAGGTGGCGTCCCCATCTCAATGATTGATAATTGATGTTTTCAAAGGGTGGCCTTTGAGGTTATTCCACTTCATACAACACTAGTGTACCTGTTGCTCGAATTCGAGCAATTGCGAAGCATTACAGGCGACTCACGAAGATTATGGAAATACTCACGATCTACACAACAGTTAGATATAATCAAAATCTTTTGTAAATATCTTATCTTTTCTCAAAAAGCTGATCTTGTTTTTTAGTGTTTCTACAAATTTTTCCCTCTCATAGCCGCATTAGGTTGTCTATAATAACGATTATAAATGAAAAAAAACATTATTTCTTTTCTTCTACTTGGTTGTGTTCTATGACTTTTTCTATGTTTTCATTGTTTGCAAATCGGTTATTTCAATGATTGCTCAAGAAATGTAGCATATTGTTAATTCAGTTTTATTTTTAGCCTATATCAAATTGTCCAGGATTTCTCGCTTTTTTCCATTGTAATAATTTTACTAACCAAAGTTTCGTCTACAGATGCAATATGCCAAAGAATATCACCTACGTACAATCTCCAAGAAGTGTTAAAAAAAGGCAGAAACCAAGCCATACAATAGATATAAGTTAACTCCTTAAGAAATAATTTTAAGAGTTACTGTGATATTAGGATTTTCCACTGATTTGGTAATAGAACATTATATTGCAAAATATGACACGATGCAGAATAA